GTTTCTTACAGTGACGAAGAAAACAGCTATCTTCCTTGACAAACTTTAAAAAAATTGTAGAGAAAATTCGGATGTAATACTTTTTCATCTTCGAAGGGAGTGCATTTAAAAAGTAAGCCCTCATTATTCAATGCTACCATCAGAACTTAATTTATACCACTATAACTACAATTTATCCTCAGCTTCCGTTATTTAAATAATAGGTCGACATGAATTGAGAGGAAATGAAAATTACACCCATCACCTTTCTTAAAGTGTATTTGAGGACTTTAAACTTGCCCTATACAAAAAGACATTTAAATGAAAAAAGGCGGCTTACACCGGTGAGATTGGTGAATAAATGAGTAGAAATGGAAAATTACTCATTAAAATAACAAAGTAATGAAATGGAGTATGACAAACTATGATGCGTTATTTTCTTCTGTCATAATTATCAAGCCAGCAATTCTTTTTATGCATGAAGTTCTTAATTTAACGAAAGTACAAATATTGCAATGCGTTGGGTGGCTCAATGCTTTTTTTTGACTAATTGGACAGCATAACCTTACATGCAAATACAAAATGCGTAAATTACTGCCACCATTCCACTTCTGCAATTGCTTGTACGTTCTCAAACTTTTAATGGCGATTAATGGAGAGAATAATAGATTTACAAGTATATGTATTGAATGCTAATTTTTTAAGCTGGACTTTAACATTACTTTACCATGCGAAAAATTGTGTAAGATACTGCTATTTCAAGGGGTACAGAAATCAAAAAAACCTCATTATATACTTTTGATGACCAAAATTTGCATAATAAACAACGCACTTCGACAATGTAAAACAGAGAACAATCCTCAATGAGATCGAGTAAATACCAAATAAAATTCTTTTAGACTGTGAGTAGGTATGGACTTTGATAGAACTGCAGATAAGAGATTCAGCGTAGGCCAGCTCAATTTTCTAAGGATTGAATCTCTTGAAAACGCTAAGAAACAATTGAGTCAACACCACTTCCAGTGGATGAGGCCTTCTGTTCTAAGCAGTGGAATAGCTTCAGACAACGTATGAGAGAACGCCCACTTTCTGGTCAGTTTGACCTCCCTCTGGCAAGTGAGTCAACAACATAGTGGCGATTGCTAGTTCGGAGCTGCTCCTCATTCACCATAACAGTCTTACCAACCCAATTAAAATGTGTATCTGATCGTCAATGGCAGCTGCGTTCAAATATTAATAAGAAATTAAATGGGAAGACATTGCTAGGGCCTAAATCGTCATCCATCGACTGCGAACTTTCCTATTCGCAGTTAGGAGTGCCTGCAGGGACCAATTTAGACAATTTACGGAGTGAGGAACGGAAGACGATATGTTTAAAATTTTTGATGAATCTGCCTAATAATGCGATGCTAGGCGAGAGTCGTCTCAGCCCGTTGACTTCACCCAACTTCACGCAAGAGCGGACATTGCAACAATGTGATTGCAAAAAGTGCCCCAAATCGCGAACACATGCGATTTTCTCCGGATGTGCTGGTTGTCAGGCGGAGGTGGTGCGGTTGTAGCATTGGAAGCGTTTGGATACAGTCAACCCTGCAGCGACTTTTCACCCTCCAGGCCACAATCCACTGAATTGCAGTCCGCTCACAGAAAAAGGACATTAATTAAAACAAATTAGTGAGATTTATGAGTCCCCTACTAAGTACACTTTGAAGTGGGTTGGCCATTCCATAGCAGAGCATAATCTGACCCTTTAGAAGGGCTCAAATCCACGATTTACCTTGGCGATGACGACTAAGTCGCTTGGTGTTATTTTGTGTGAAGAATCACTGCATACCGCCTCTCGGATTGGGAACAACCACACGCAAAATCGCAGTTAAAGGGCAAAAGTCTTCAGGCTTTATTTTAGCTTTGAGTGCAGAAACACAAGCAGAAATTGGGTGGTTCAACAACAAAGCACCAATTTATGCAAAGCCTGGTACATATTTTGTATTTTTATGACTTGGGAACAAATCATGCCGTTGTTTTCTACAGGTTTATATGAAAACACGCCGCATAAAAAACTGGATCTTAATAATAAATAGGTTTGGTCCGAAAACTATCCAGTGATTATGGGCGAACAATATTGATCATCACTTGGTGAATAGAGCAAACGCCCTTGTAAGTTGACTTTGGAAGAAAGTAAGGCTCCGACATAATAAAGCCGGCCTGTATTTGAGACCTACTTCAAACCCAATAAGCATAAGAATCATCAGTCATGAAGAAATGGCACAAAGGTTTCCACAACGCATTCAATTACAATACGACCTGCACTGCACATTTAAGCAAAGTTGTTTAAACTTACTACCATCAATCGTTTTTGTCTAAATCTCATTTCGCGAAAATATCAACACTAACATACTGATATAGCGTTTTCCCGTAAGTCGTACTTTCTCATGATTAACCAACTTTTTTTCCACTGTCGCAAGTCACTTATTAATTGGGACTTTGAGGGCGGCATGACTGTTCAGCTTACTTCATTTAAACAAACAACATTACTAATTTTTCAAGAAGCTGACTAACCGTGCTAAAAATCACTTTAATATTTTAAAAGTTTTTATTGATTGAATTTAGGAAATCATTATAAAGTTTGTTCTCCGGTGTCTTTATTTATTCTACCTGCATATTTTTGACTCAATGCGAAGATAGTAAACTTTCCGAACTGTAATGAATAATGTCCTAGTGATCAATCGACCTCCGTCTGCTTACCGCGTATTTCATAAATTTGTATTCAATAAAGCCAAGAATAAATCGATATGTAATTGTTTGTCTTGGCATTCGAAATGATAAGTTAATTAACTGGGTATGTTTGGCCGTCGACAGATCTGCATGCCACGGTGATTTTTGCACAGCTAGGGTTTGGTGAAAGCGTCTTTAGAAGGAATCCAACAACAAAAACAGTTTACATTTTGGGGACGTATTCAGCTAAGAAGGCAAATGGTGATATTTGCTATGGTTTTAGTCATAATAGTAAATTTAAAAAAAACTTTTATGGTTTAATAAGCTGTGGTTTCCTAAATATGCTCAATGAAGCATTACTAAAGTCGGTAGATTCATCGAATTCCAACGAGAAACCCATCGAACACTAGAAATTTCAGTACCTTGGTCGTTAGGATTCAAGAAATGATTTCTGCTGTTATTAGATCAGGCATAATGTTAATGCATAAAAAACAACCAATAACTAGCACGTTACCAACCGCATGGCGAGGAAAAACAGGCCAGCAAGCTCTCATTTTTTCCAAAAGGTTAAGCAGCGACATTTCGGAAAATGCTATACGAACCCCCACGATCCCATTGCCTTGGCACACACGTGCATGGAAGGTGTCTTAATGAATGACAGGTAGAAAGTACAAGAGTGTAAAGGAGATAACGTGGCCGCTTCAAGAGACCGGCATTGTGGTTGTGTTATCGCATGGCACGCGAGTTTCATTCCAGAAGAAGGTGTCGCTGAATGAGCGCATGAAGGGGGGTGAATTCATTTACACCTATAGACATTACTTTTTGAATTCTATAGATCTAAAATATTCAAAGCTAGTCTTAAAAAGTAGATCTCAGTAAGAAATGGAAGTTAAAGAATGCAATGGCTTCAAACATACTTTGAAGGACCCACAGAGAGGCTAATCCACCCTCAAATTCACGCTGCATTATTTTATTTCCGTGAGTGATCATTGAAACTAGTACCTCGAACTGAAGCATTTTTGCTCAGAATCTTTAGGACAGAAGGTGGTACAAATAAAGGCTGTCAACTCATGTACACGCCCTACTAAGTGATGTCATTCGAAGAATTCTGCTCTAAATTAAATGACGTTCCTTTCTTGAACTAACCAGAATTGCTTCACCAAAAAACTGAGCACAACTTGATCTCCCAAATTATAAAAAGAGAGCTTCCGTAAGTTGATGTATCATGGTAAATCTAAGTACAAAGATGACAAATGTCGATTTTTGAGAAACAACAACGGTCACTTGAGATTTCTCAGCCTTGAATGCCATATACGAATAATCGTGTTGGAGCACAGCTAACACTTTTATTTAAGTATGCTGCTACGTGCAGCACAAAGTGATATAGTTGCTCTGAAATGGGTCTGGACACGATGTTGCCTATTTATATAGATGCAGCGGTACATGTTGCCAGGACATGCAAATATAGATCATCCAAAGCTGATTGAAGTTAACGGTCTACAACCTGTTTGCCAAATCATAAAATGCGCCTACAAACAAACCAAAACAACCATAAAATTTCGGTGTCTGGAAACTGTAGGAATAACTTTTACACTTCGAAAATCAAATATGATTGTAACTAGTCAAAATGAGCAAACCGCCTAATGGAATTTTATGTTTTTTTCTGTTTCTCACTTATTTTGCACGGTTTTGAAGAGATTGTGTCTGAATAAGAATGATTGCCTATTTTACTCACCAACCTAGTAAAGTATAAACGAGTTATTCCTTTTATTAGTATAATTTCCAAAAAGAAGCATACTGATGATACAAAGTGTAAGATCACACAGAAGTGAGTAGTGACGCTAAAAAGTTCTTTTGATCTGGAGATTCGTGCAAGAATCCAGAAATTGCAGAATATAATAGTTAGTAACTGATAATAATAAGTAGGCATCAATTTGTGCTACAACGTGCTTGGAAGCTCTTTAATACTGCTAAACACTGCTTCGCGGGATTTAAACAAAAGTCGAACATTTTAAATGAGAGAATGACTTTGCCAACGAAGTACTGCTCACACAGCCATTCATTCTTTTCAGTCTATATCTTCTAAATACGCATTCGGAATACAACCAGATCAAAATATTCCCCACTCCTCGCGAAGAGTTGAAAATAGTGAGCTCTCTTCCTCTTCCTCCACCACTTCCTCCTCCATTGCCTCATTCACCTTATTGGGCACATCGCCTCACAAATTCGTGGGATTCAGGTCCACCGCGTTCTCTCCACATTCCACAAGTGTACAGACCAACGGCGGGCAGGCCTTCCTCACGGGCATGACGACGACGACAACAGCGGCTGCGACGCGACTGCTTCGAAAAAAGGCTCTAAAGCAATGGCCCCAAAGACCCTCAACCAATGCTCCCAACAGCACACCTGATGGACAATTCCTTAGTGCTCAGGATATTCTTCGATTGCCATCTCCACGGCAGGTGCAACTTTTCGTTGACTACATCAATCCCTACATTAAGCAGAGCATTCATCCACAGCAGGTAATTGACCCTGTCTCATGTACGCTTAGCAGAAAGTCCCAATTCCCTTCTCTTAGTCCAAGTTTAATGCATTTGCAAAAAGTGCTACTACTTCCATTACTATGACGTTATTTTAGACCATTTGATTGTGGAATTAAAATTGCTGCTTAGCATTTTGAAAATACCTATCTAAAAGAGCCGTGTACAGTAGTCTCTTGAGAAAAGGCTTCTATAATTTTCTTTATTAATGAAGTGTTTGAGAGCTACAAAAAAGCCAAACTAAAATAAATCAACGATCTTTAACAGTCTAGTAACGAACCACATAAATTTGCAACCATTCCGTAAACGTGAAAAAGTAGTATATGTGTTTGTTTTTTTTTACAAAGAATTATCAACGAAGCATCAGTCTGCGTTGTCAATGCAACTTATAACATGTGCCCTATTCGAAGGGAAAAACAAATAAACAACTCACTTTTACAGTAAGCACTGAAGGGGGCCAGCACGACCCACACATTGAATGAGCAGAGACATTTCAAAAAACTTCCACTTCCTTGTAGATTTACTTTATCATTAATCAATGGCATTCGTTTCGTCAAACACTACGGCAAAATCGTCGAATGCAGCGGCTTCAAGCTGCCGAGAGGGAAGACGCAAGACGCCGGAAGCAAAGCGAACGCCAGGATAGCAAAGAGGTGGATCTTTTTGCTAAAGTTGTTCTTCGAAGAGAAGCGCAAGCATTGAGAAAAGCCACCTCATTTGCAGAATTCAAACGAATTCTTCTACGCGCCAACATAAAATCTTCGAAATCAAAGCGGAATTCAATTTCATCAGAGAACAATGTTGATCTTTCTGAAGCTAGTGGTGGTGTTGTTCTTCATTTACTTATCACTCCAAGTTCTGAAGAGCCTCTAATTTCTCAGAGGTTACTTGAAGGGAGGAAACGGCACATTAGTAAGCGCAGTCTTGGCGAAATTGAGCATGGTAAAGAAGAAGAACTGAAGGAACCTCATACGTCGTCACAAAAGAATGAATACTCGTTGCCCAACAGAAACGTTACCGAGGATGCTTACGCAGAAGACGAAACGGAAAACCGTAAGTCTTATAAAATAGGCTTGCTTTAAAAAGGGAATAAAAATTCGGACCAATCAAAGGCTAATTGACATGTTCAAAACGGTCGAGGTTGGAGTTCAGTCATCAAGCGCATATTGAAATTATTAATTCACCCCTTATTGGCCAAGTTGTCCCCAAGAGTCTTTTTGTCTGGACAAAGAAATCCATCAATGGCTGACCAATGTTACTCAAGGAAGAAACACATCAGAGGCACAGGTTTTTGCCCACATTCAGCTTGAATTGCCATTATTAAAACAAAAAAGGCGAAATCCCGTACTCAGTACTAAGTTTAAAGTAGCAGCAAAATTAAAGGAGAGCGAATATTACCTTGGTGTTACAAATTCTACGTTCTATGGCTGTGGTGACAATAAACCCACTATTGTTCTTCCATTCCTGTTTCCTCTAGATTCAGATGAGGAACTTCGGGAAGCATACAATAGCTATAATGACTTCCTAAGTAGCGCTTGCACGCCGAGAAATAGAACTCTTTGTACAAAATCCCTCTTTCCGAGGGATCGTGTCGACCGCTCGACCCTTTTTTTACCACCTGGTATCTATGTGAGACGGTGTGACAATTCAGTGTGGAGTCCAACGTGTGGAGGCGGGAGTGTGGTCAACTCCTATCAGGCCATGTTCAATCAGGCCGCGCGGTTACGCTCTCGAATGGCGCTCAAGTCACTGTGCGCAGCAGCGGATCGCATGGATGCATCTGCCAGGCCACGAGTCACTGACCTGCGCCACTTTGATATCAGTGGATCCTGCAATTGCTTTCTTCCCGAAGAGGTGTGCCTTCCGACGGAGGTTCGTCTAAAAATTGCCCCAGTGGTCGTGTACAACGTGAGTTATCCAGACAACTGTTGTATTTGTTTCCTCACACAGACTGCAGGTATCGTTTTATTTCTGCCTGGATTCCATCTAATTATCAGCACTTTCTTCCGAGAGACACATTGCTTTTTAAGGTGTAAATAATACTATTCCATGAAAACCCGTTGCCGGAACTCTTCTACGTAAAGAATACTTAAAGCTCTAACTTCAACTTTATGATGATCAGTAACACCGTAAGTACGACAGGAAATTCAGTACCAACTTTAACACAACCCCTATTTGCGACTTGGGATCTGAGGTCCCTTAAATTAGTGCTTTACGAACTGAACGTCACCAAAAGGGAAAAGATTTAAGCAACTTTATTTGCTACTAACATTGAAGTCTGTAGCCAGAAAATAACCATGACACTATGTGGAGTAGTGCAACACCAACAACCACAATTTAAATGCATGACTATAGGAATCTTTATAAGTGTGCGGTCATAACGCGATCACTGATGTTTTGGTCGCTGGTGCTCGTTTCATCCCCCTTACATCCTAAGGGAATAATTTATCTTGTCCTGTACCTGATATATGACAGTTAACTATCATTTAACTGGATGGGGTAATGCCTTTGCTTCATAAAAAGTAATATATTCAGATATTTGTCCACTGATTTATTTCATTCCAAGACATTTATTTTGTCTCTACAGAACCTTTTCTCCTTTCGTAAATCCCAAAGGTGACCATTCGAATAACAATCGAATGGGGAAAGGTATTGCAATTGTAGTGACTAACCTGGAACCATGATCAAAACTCAATCGAAAAAACCATAATATTTCAATCTCTTTCCGTTGAAACATCGATCAAAAGTTAAACACAAAGGGATTAAGCTATTCAACAAGTTTTCCTGGTTTTTTTCGTTACTGTCTTTTATTTTATGAGCTGAGTGGGCTTCTTAGCCTATAAAATAATGCTCAGTTTGGTCTTGAAAAGTAGGATGAAATTTTGCCACTATACAAAGTTTTAACTTAAATATTATTTTTTATTGTTACACGGTTGTGAAAATGCTTTGCAATACATAACCTACACCTACTTCGATGAAAGAATAAGTAAAAACTGGCGTTATTGTTGTCAATGTAGACTGCCAAAGGGACGACCACAACCGAAATTGTCGCGTTGACGGAGCACATCAAGTGTAGATGTCAACGAAGGTGAGCCAATTTCTACTTTAACAATGCCCTTTTTACGGAATGGAGCAATTGAACATAATTGCTTGGTATATCGAATAGGACAAGATAATTCGGAAGCCACTAATATTGGGTATAGTGAAATCAAGAACAATAAATTTTAAGCTGCCTTCAAGTTTAAAGCTCGAAATCTGTCTGGCATACCTATAATTTACTCCAAAATTATTTGGGCAATGTGGAAAGTTTACATCATTCGCTATCGAACAATTTACTCAAGCGCCGGTTGTCTGTGAGGTACTATTTTGATTTGCTGTTTATTTACCCAAAAAGGTGCATTGCGACTAAACCACTGTGCTACAATGAGTTTTGCTGCGTCACAATGTTGAAATTACTCCTACTTCTCTCGAATAAAGTGACGGTTTGCCTTTTCCACAACATGGCAGTCCACGAGGCTTCGCCCTGTTCTACAGAGAAGCCCAAATTAGATAGCCCCTATGTACCTTTTTAAAATGTTTTAAGTGCGGCAGTATTGGCTTGGCAAAGTTTGCCAGTGCATTTACTTAGTATTATAACGCATGGTGTAGCACAATATTACTAACGCCCTATTGGTATTCGACACTGGAAGTTTTAACTTCAAGTCTAATATGTTGATGAGTGTGGAATGCTCTTCAGCAGCAGCCAAAGCAGTACAAGTTTTACTCTTAGAGAACGCGCAGCTCTATGCTACAATTGGTTCACTGGTGTGGCTGGCATCATTTTGCATCTTACTCCTTGAGCTGCGGTACTTCATGTCTGGTGCAATTCCATTTTTCAGTCTGGGTTCACCAGAGTTAATAGTGTTAATGGTGGATCAACTTCACTTTCACATTCTCACCGTCGACATTTCTAATGTGTTAGATGTGAAAATCGGAAGTGCATTTCGCCGCTGCGATTGAACATTTACACCTACGATGACTGCTACTGCGCCTGTGCGGAGAGCGACGAAAGGTGTGAGGCACTGCTGGATGGGAGAGCTAAGTTTACTGATGAAGAGTAAGTCTAAACTAATGGGACCCGCCATACCAATCAGATCACATTTACATGGGCTACTTATATCCACTATTTGTGTGGTGCAATAGTTATTCCATAGACAGAATTCTGCCATATTTCTCATTTGTAGAGGCCCAAAGTAGTAGTAGCCTTATGTATTTCTTTGGCTGCGTAACAAAATGGACATAACTGAGTGAGATCCATTTACCACACTGGTTTCCGAAACAGAAAGTCTGGGTTTCTGGGATTGGGTTAGCTCATTCTCCCGTAGACAAAGTTGTTCTAATTTTGCACTATGTAATACGACGAGAAAGACGGTTTGGTTTACATGTATAATGCATAAAAGTGACGTAAATTGAACGACTAAACGTTAACTCTGCAAATAATTGTGACAAAAAATATGTGCGCTGCCTTTAAAATGTCTGTCAATGAAAATATTTACTTTACAGTGGATAAAGTACCTTTTCAAAGTAACTTTAAAGTGGGCACCTTCAAAACGTTGCTTTATTTTCTCACTGAAAATGCGTGAAAAAGTGTTAAAACAGTAGTTGTATTTATGTGACTCTTGGTTACGTGTTTAAAGAAACGTATTTTGAGCACCAATTTTTAAATCGCATCTTCGGTAAAAATGAGCATTTATCACAACACCAAAGTAGGGCTTGGCTTTTCTTCAAAACTAAAAAGATTCAATTAATGGGCGTTGATAGGTGTTTACAAATTTGTTTCTGCCATTTGAAGTTTAGGTTTTTTTTCATTTAACCCGGTATGCGTTCTTTGATAACCAAAAATAACCAACAATTCTTTGAAGGGGTAAAAAATAAAAGAATGGGTTCTAATAAGTAATAAACAGTTTATTGTTAAACTATTTAAATTGCTTTGTAATATTTGATTAAATTGGTTTATGTCGCAGATTACCGATACCATTAAACGGATCATATATCCTCCCTCCTTGCTATCACGGTCCAATGGATGAGGTACATCTATATCACAAACACTGTCCCCGCCCGGATGGACGAATAGGAGATTTTTCGTCCACGTAGCCCAAAGTACGGTCAACGCACGAACACATTCCTGTAAAGACTTGATGATGTGAGGAGACAAAATTCACTTCTGTGCGAAAAAGCCTTCATCTCCTCGACCGCCCTCTTTCTTCTCATCCTCCTCTTTGGGGATGTCTCCATGCCTCAGCGACCTTTCTTCTCCATCATCACCATGACCAAAATGGGTGAACCCACATGCATCCATGCCAACTACCGGCGTTTTACAATGTTAGGTCACTTCCAGAGTCAGCGGAATTCGTCCCTTTGGCCACTCCTATCCAAGTAAAGACTATTTTTTTACTAACTTCGCCTCTTGTCTTATTGCGAAAGCACTTCGATCTATACACAATCGCACGTAACGCGTCGTCTGCCCTGGCATCACTGCGTGCCCTCTAACTCTATTTCTCCATGAGTTGGTACGGCTAACGTCCCCTCCGACTGTGTCCTCCTCTTACTTCTTATGTCCATTGCTGCATTTTGCTTTCCTCACTCACATCCACTCACCTCTCTCGTGCAAACATTTGCTCTATCCGCGATGAGAGACTAATTGTTTCGTGTTCTCTTTGTATGTGTACATAAGTAACAAAAGGGCCATCAAAACGAAAATTTTGATTCAATTGCCACTACAATTCTACCAAATTTCAAGCAGTTGATACTCAGCAAAAATGCATGATTATTTATGTTTCTTAAATGCTATTTCGACCTTAATGTTATATCCGCTTAAAGGCGTATATCAAGAGGGGGTAATTGGAACCGTGTATATGCAAGATGATGCTACTCCGTTTCCTCAGTTTGACAAAAATTTAACTGAAACATATCAATAGCCCACCTGGTGACATGCAAGGCTGTTTGCTTGTAATCACTTGTTTTGTAGGTAACTAGTTATTTATTCTGTCACTTACTAAAATCTAAAATACTATTAAGCGAATTGTACTATCTAATAATGTTTAAATGATAAGTTGAAAACTGAGAAATGGAAAGTGAGGTTTTAAGTGGTACGAGATATTCAAGGGAACAAGGAGCATATTAAATGTCAACTAGCTACTCATAAGGTATGCATCCCTTTCTATCAACACGCTGTGGAACATTGGGCACATAAGCATCAGTCGTAGAGGGTGCATTGGACGCCAATGCTAAGGAAAAGTTTGCCTTAAAGCCATTGAAATACCATCATATGATTTCCAATGAAAGAAATGGTGGAGAGCGGACTGGCACTTAATGTGCAGAAGAGCCTGCTGAGGAAGTGGGAGGGTGGAGAGAAAAAGGAGGTAGGATGGAAGTCTCGTGCCATACTCCACCCTACTTTTGATTCCACGTATTTGGCATGATACTGAACATCCAGCAAGACAGAAAATTTGAGACAGTTTACAATTGTTTTTATTTGTCCAGATTTAATGTGATTCGGTGATTGAGACTGAGTTACAGATTTTTTGAGAAATGTAATATACTCATATTTATTTCCTTAACTCCTAGAAGCCCACAAGTGACTCTTCTCACATAAAAGTTTTGAAGTTGGAATTCCAGTTAGAAGATTCCTAAAAAATTATCCAGCACTGGTGATGGTATCCAATTATAGAACGCGGTTATTGGTCTGATTTCGCACAAAATCACCGCGACTACGTACACGGCAAAACTCGTGGTTCACCTCACGGTCTGATGCGTGTTTTTAAACTCCCGCCGACATGAAGCAAGGAAGTAGGCAAACATATCTTAGTTGTCTTTTGATGGTAATTGTCAAATATTATTTAAAAAGGAAACATTAAGGGTTATAGTATGAGGCATGAAACTTGGAGCAAAGGCGTCGGACCATCCTTGACGTGCGACTCAAAGTAAGTGGTAATGTCACTGGATCTCAAACTGCGCAAACTCATCCTAGAATTTTAAAAAAAATGTTGTTTGAATTAATTGCAGAGATTTAAGCAAGTCGTGTGTAATAATATTATCCCAACTTTCTGAAAGTGGTATGGAGCTTAGTCCAATCTGCCTTAAAGTCTAGCATTCCGGCAATGCCACCTTTCATGAATTAGGCAATGAAATGAAAGAAATGAGATGTGAAAAATTTGAGCATATTTAGGGACCATAATTAGGTTGACGTTAAATAGAATAACGATTTAGTCCACTGTTGAATAATTTTATTGAGCCCCATTGTTGTTAAGGGCCGAACGGTGCCTCAGCAACAGAGCCACTGACAACCTCAAATTAATTGATAGCAATTTCGAAGAACAAATTGTTCAAGGGCCATTCTGATGCATGAAACACCTATTCTTTAAGGTGATGTCATTTACAAAGATAGAACCAAAGAGGTATTGCATTCTTTCCCCTTTTTAAGTGACAGTAGTAAATGAAAGGAGATATTACAAGTTTGTAAAGCTTCATTTGATGAATCATTTTACCGTTTAAAAGAGAATAATAAGCTTAGTGGAGGACTGCTACACGTGCAATAATATTTGAAAACTAGGACTGGAACACAAAGTGGGGCAAAATTCTGCATACAGTCGAAAATTAAATCAACTTTCAGAACAAGTGATTAGTCATGCATCTTCAAAGCAAGGATATTTAAATTTGAGAACCTACAACAGGAAGATAATTGCAACACCGCAATGGAAGCCAAAACTGGATATTACAAATCCATCGATATTTCTGTCAACGCCAGAATGCTCCGTGATCACTGCAAGAGAAGCAAATTTTGACCTGGGTCCCTATAGACAAAACAATAAATATTGGAGCACAGCACAATCGCATATCTATGTAAAATGACTGGAGCGCAGTTTGTTAGGCTAAAAAGGACGATGACATCGATAACCAGACTCGCTATCTCTGTGGAATGAAAGGGTTCTTATACAGTATTACAAATTATGATTAATTAATTCAAGCAATATACCTTTGAATCACTGAAAAGTTTGTCCTCCTATCATACATAATAATAAAAAAGGTGAAGAGATTCATCTTAGGCCTGAATTAGCTGTCTCTTCCTGCCTGTGAACTGTATTATGCTCTAAAGTTCATCAAAGTTGTGATAGAATCGTGTACTACTGAGATGACTTAATTAAGCCTACCGTTCATTTTAAAAGGAATTTTGACATTGTCTCTTTATTAATAATAAACGAAGCAACTAGGAGGAATGCATGCACATATGTGTTCATATATATATATATATATATCAGTTGAGATACTATTTGTTAATGGCGCATCACTAAGTCTAAATGGTGGCAGGTTTGAAAGGAGGATCTGTCCAACCAGAAGAGTGCGGATCATTTGTGAAATCAGATCGCACGTATTGGCGGCAAGACCGGAGAGCAGGTTGGCTGTCTGGTCATTACACACCCCTCAAGGTGCACTCTTCCAACAAGACAGGCGGCACGCTCTAAGACGTGTATCTATACCTCCTCTCTTCTTCCCCTGTCCTTGCTCCCAGCGCTTAAGCTGTGCATGAAATCCGTTATTTACGGCTCTCTAGTACACATCGCGTACCCTATTCCCAATGCCCCGCCAAAGCTGCGCTCTCATATCAATTGAACAAGGACAGCGGCAGCACCAGTACCTTTTGTTCCCGTCTGTGTGAACGAATGTGTATGTGCATATTGACCCGTGTGTGTGTGTGTGTGTGTGTATGTGTTTGGGGCAAATTTAAGCCTCACAAATGCACTATCGCTGGCACAGACGAGCAACCGCTAACAGCTGTGATCAGATCTCACGGTGAGGGAGAGGGAGGGCGAGAGGCCAGCAGCAGAACAACTGTTCGTGCTGGCGGCAGCGGTGTCACAAGTTTCAAAAGAGTCCCAGAATGACCACTACTACCTCAGTGAGTGGCCAAAGCAAAAAAAGAGCGAGAAAAGTTGTGGCAAGGAAAAATACTAACAAATTATGAACCACACCAGTTCGTGCGCTCACAAATTCACGTTTCTCACCCGTTCATTCCCCGCGCCAACATCCGGTCCACCAAACAAATAATAAGTGCTAATTTATAACCGTGTGAGGAAAACGTGCTATCGATGTTTTTCATTCCACCTAATGCCACCGGGTAAGAACTTCTAAACAAGCCATTTTTTAACAATGAATGCAACTTATAGCACTTATAATGGATTGCCGCAAAAAGTAAAAATAATGATAATTTACAAATAAAGACCTGGAAGCGTTTTTTGAAAATCTTCGCCATTTACTTACCCTTCTTGAGTAGAGCCAATATGAGGGAGCTTGATTGCAAATTGTCGTTAAGTATTTTTCCATTTCTGCTCAACGCAACATAAGCAAAGTGTATTGTAAACATTCTGAATGAACGAAGAGTTTTTTTGCTAAAACAAAACAAGCAAAGCCAAAGAACAAGCCCGTTTTGCATTCTCGACTGCTGTAGTGAATGTAGGCAGCTCAGGATTTAACAGACGTTTCGGCATAGCAGTCATCACGCACTCAAACTTGACTGTTGTCAACCCTACTTCAATACAGAAGTAGCGAACGTGCCACTGCATTATTAATGTACCTCTTACGTATCGTGGGCCGTAGTCTGTTTGATAATACAAATGAAAATACAGTTGTATCTGTACTGAATCTGACTTTTTCCCGCAATCCTTAACAATAACTGATTGGTATAACGTCAAGATGATCGGAAAAAAGTTTGCCTTCAAAATGATCTACACAATTTGGCACCCCCTGCTCCAACAGGGTTTGCCAATGTTACCATCAGATTGGACGCAAAATCGTTTTTTAGGTCGGAGTTATACTTACTCCAGGTGAGGGGCTTTACGAACAGTACGACGCAAATTGGCGTACCAGCCGGTCCCAGGCGGTGAACAGCACTTTGTCGCCTGTAACGCCTCTAGCGAACGCCAAAAATTCAAAGAGGGAGCAACAGAGGTCCGTGGGAGAGAACAAACACTTAGCGCTTGATTTATTATCCCTCTGCTTGTGCAAAGGGCGATCGGTATAGCCTGCCGACCGGCCACCCTGTCTATTTTCCACTCAGAGGACTGAAAACGGTGGGAACTCTCTGACACGCAGACTGTTTCTCTATATTGTAGTCCGTCTTCAATAACAATAGCATATATGTGCCCCCACTTGCTAGTAAAGAAAGTAGGAAAGAACCACTCTCACTCATCACACAAGCAAGGTATGGGTTATAGCTTAAAAATAGAGACTTTCTTCTGGCCCAAAGTTGCAAAAAGCAACCATGACACAAGAATTGCTACCATTTGAAACACCATTTTTCGGATTTATGCATAACGTTTTGGTTCCCGGACAAAAAACAACAATAATTAGGTATGAAACTCTCAAAGTCAAGATCCAATACACATCATGCAAATTCTTGTTAAGGGTAGTCCCATCTATCTAGTTTTTAGAGTGAGTTTGTAAGTGCACCAACCCGTACCTAATTTCAGTGAACCACCCAGCACCACATCTCATTCCCATTTTAAACAAAGTCATTACCAACTTTTATAAACTTGTAGTTAGGCGACCTATAATATTGAGGTTACTGCGAGTTACGCCGCTACCTTTCCAATGCAATTTTCTCCTGTGTGAGTCAATGACTTAAGGAAAAGGGATGATCTAGAGAAGGGGTTAGAGTTGGTCACCAAACTGTTCTCACTAATGTGAATCTCAATAATTAGCAGTGGGGAATTTTCGGAGCAAATAGCTGCCAAAATATATACTGAGCTTTTCAAACAAAGGGCATGCGTCTGTGCGATGTCTGTAGACAAGTTCAGTTTTGGTTACAGGTCTTTGCTCGATTTGGAGAATGCTTAGAATAATCTTTGCGTCATGCTATGAAAAAGCCACACCAAAATACTAACAAGACAGGAGAGCATTTCCACCACCATCAGAGACGGCAAATGTATTTGAGTTTAAATGTAGCTATTTTGGCGGGATATATTACCGTAAATAGTGCGAGAAATCAGATCATATTGATTTACCAGTGTCTTACAGTTAGATAGGCACCAGTCTACACAGTTCCGAAACATTTTTGAAATACATGGGTTTAAAAATACTTAGTGGTTAGGAATTCATTGCATTGCAATTTTTAAAAAAGTGCGGACGCTAACAGTAAGGGACTTAATACCCGCAGCAGCACTAAGAACGCAAACCTCGCATAATACGCTCACTTGGTGTTATTAGGTTATAACAGGAAGTTAAACACTATTTCGTAACTCGAAGAATGCATGATGATACATAGGTGATAAATTACGCACTCTGTAATAAAGGTAAGTAAAATGAGCTACAATTGATGACTCACACAGCAAATTGACAGCTCTGTCTGGGAAGGATCGACAACACAACAAAGTCACTAAATACAAAAATTGTACTTAATGGCAAGCTTGATTCTAACTGGTGTAGCGAATTCCTTATGATAGTATGAAAGATTTCGTGATCTAGCTTGCATGTATATATATTTAAATTGAAATCAGAGCTAATAAAGGGATTTATGTAAGTACTTTCCCTTCCTAATCCTCCATGAAGAGTCCCAGAGCTCGCTTTTCATTGGTCTACTATAGATGTCATTGCCTTTGCGTTTCACACTAGAAACCTGATTTCTCACTGTAAGAGGGGTCTTTCGTTTTCATTTTCCATGGATCAGCCTCGATCGGTATTCCCAACTAATCATAATGATTCAGTTTAGTCTACTGGATATGACGTTATGAAGGAACCTCGAGGGTTTGTGAGAATTCTGCAGCTGGTTTGACATATATTTTGATGTATTCATGGTATAGCTTTTCGCCATTTTTGCATTTGCATCTACAATCAGCTTCTATGGACACATACAGATATGTATTGGGCACCCTTGTAATTCTTCAGCGGTAGTTTTGACGTTCCCTTACCCATTTGCGTGAGTTTATATTGCGACGCTTATTTATACCTAGACTGTCTTCTCTGAAAATACCCGATTCCATTCGTCCACTTGATTTCCCGCTCTATGGGGACTTCTCATCTGGCGCGCAGTTTTTTGTATTTGTCGGAGTTATAACAGCTCTATATTGTGTTGGAGCTCTAGTCCTATACACTGTCTTCGTTGACAAATACGAGTCGAATGTGTTTTTTAGAAAAGTGGTAGGCCTGCTTCTGCCATTTTACCCTGTAGGACTTCGGATTGAGCACTTTTATCGTTCTCTTGTGGTTCATTGCTTCCACAATTTGGGCGAGGAACGTTGACCAGCTAAAGCGTTACACGTCTGAGGGAGTTATCAAAAGGGAGCTATGCCAACACAAAGATTGCGAAATAGAAGCTCCACAAGGATATGCCGGATTAAGCATATCCTTGGTATGTCTTAAGACATTAGATTTGACTGCATATAAAGTGCTCACGTTAGCTCAAGTAAAGTCTGCAGATTTTACAATATTATTGGTCTTGAAGCACGGATTTTTATGCAGAATGTTTAGTCCCATCTTTTACGCTCATTTTTAAGGTGTGCAGCCAAAGACATTTTTCAAAGCAGCTATTATTTGGTTGTACTCCAATTGACTTGTGCATGCATTAGCTCTATTCGTCTCATAGATAACTTTGACATTTACTAATATTGTCTCTATCGTTGTTCAAAGTAAAAGCCTTTTTTTTGTGAAACTCAACACGAATCAATTAGTCCAAGTACACTTTACTAATAGAACGAATATTTATCTTCCCACTCTCTTAATGAGCTCCGGCCTCTATATTAAGGTATTTGGTTTCTCCAATGTTGCACTCTGGGCCGCGTCACTTTGGTTCCTGTGGAAGGAGACCCCCTGGTTTCGCCGTGAGAGCGATCCTTTGCGACATGATCCCGTCTTACCCGAAGTTGACGGCGCTCCTCTGTAGGCGAATGCTGGGCAGCACATACATTCCTTGATTTGACCAGATTTTTCCTGTCTCGTGGATTCGTTATACTCCTTTTCCTTATTTACGCACATGGCCGTTTTGCAGTTGTGGTTTTTCTAGTGCTTATGAGGTACGGTTAAATTATATCCTTTCAAAAGTGCGATATTTATGCAAAATTGTATATAAGAGCTCAGATGCGATTTAATTTCTTTGTCCCCTTAGTCTTTAGGGTTGGAGTTAGGAACACAGTCCAGCATTTCACCTCCGTGGATGCTCATTTGAATCAGTGTTATCATTTCTACAGACAGTGCTTACGCCAAAGGCAATTATGATAGGACCTTCGGTTTTTAGTCCGCCTTCTAGTAATCTTTCGTTCACTATTGAATAGTTTGAATTTTACTGATAGCGTGTAAGACATTCCCATTACGGGCGTCAAGTAATCTGTCTACCGTATTTGGATTTTTACGAGCCGAGATCTCAAGCATCAGATTGCGTCATACTCACTCATTGCAACGTCTCGTGACTTTTGGCGGTTTAAGTGGTTGGTGGAGCTGCTGCTTTGCTCAAAGATGGTAATTTTGCCGCAGCGTAACGGATAAATCTGTGCAAAACGGGCTTAAGTGCGGCGATCGGATACAAAAGCTAAAGTTGTTGTCCGCGCGTTCGTAGGAACATTTGCACAGGTGTTTTAAGATAATGACGAGATCGTTTGCCATCTCGGTCGCTCAGGTGGGTAGGTAAGTCATCCGCGTTGCAATATTTGAAGACTTAAATCCTTTAATCCCACTAGGAAGTAGTTAGACAATCATCTTGACCACGGGTAACAACATAGCTGAGCGGCTTTATGGTTTTGCTCTGTGTTAGTGAAGTTGGGTGTTGTTTCGAATTCTCCCCCACCGAATTATGTCCATAGAACTAGCAATCTACTCAAAATGACATATAATACGGGTGATTCCCAATTGTCTGGGCAATTTTCGGATGAATTTGTTGGTCAAGGGTCATTCCTACGCATGTTGACGGGACCTGCAATTCGACAAGTAAATGGAATTTCAAGCATTTAACGATTTTCCGCCCAAAAAACGTTACTGATAGTTGATTCTCGGATATAGTCTGTTAGTAATTATTCGTTTCAGTCACTTGTTTAGACCTCGTACACAATAAGATAGTGCTGTCCCATGGAGCACATAACAGATGTTTTCTTGGGGTGCTAACAAACCCTATTGTCTACGTACGTGGGTGGGTAACTGCTTTCCCAATTTACCCAGCACCCAAGCTGCTGACTCACGAAATCCGTTAGTTTTTTTTTTTGTTTAGTGGCCCTTAATGTGTGTGTATTGTATGCGATATTTTAACTACCTGAAGGGGTGAAAGAAAAGTACCACGTAAAAGAATATGCTTAGTGGTTGTATGCTGTGGTACAGGTTGCGCATAATACGCTTTCATATACCTCTGAAATTATTAATCTATAGGTTCATAACTCAGGTAAAAGTTGTACTATGAAGAAAAAAATTAGTTATTTACCGGCTTTCGAACACTCAGGGGAAGTTGTATTTTCAAGAAATTGCGGTAAATAAGTGCATCGGGGCGGCTTATGTAAAAAATCAAGATCCAAACCAGTGCAGTGTGCCATATTTCATGGGCGGTGTGGCCGTGAATTATGGCTGTTGTGTAGATCAGGGTCGTTACATTTATTGTAACGAAGATACCTAATGAATTATCACCTAGCATTATTTGCCTGCTATTTGTTAATCCCATTCAAGATTATTTATGCCTAAAGCCAAGATGTAAAATTCAGACGTTGGGTCATTACATGAAGTATGCAGCGTGTGGCGGATTCCAGGGAGCACTCTGTCAGTTTGCAAGCCCAATCGAAAGTCAAGTTAATCGGTTGAAGTTATTTGCGTAGTACTCCGCCTTTCATGTTAGCTTCGAAGCTTAGGCGGTGGTGGGTTGGCTGCGCGCCTTCAGCGGTACACAAAATAAAAATTGGTTTTATTGAGCTCTGATGGGTGCCGCATAAGAAAGTAGATTCAATTGAAATACATAGGCTTTACCACCTTTGGGGTATTCTGAGGCCGTTCCTTACCTGTCGCCGTCTCAGGCATCATCGTACTGGTCACGCCCTTTTGCATTCGTTGCATATAGTCGTTAGGGTAATTATCTTCCTTGCATTATAGTATGCAAAAATCAGTAACTATCGCTTTCGAAATGTAGCGTCACTTTGACCATTGATAGAGCACCGACAAATCTGCTGTTCATGCATGTTTTTAACACGCCAAGTACATTGAGGTTGAAATCAGTTCAATCTACTCCATTTATACTTAATGACCTTCAAATCGGGAGACTGACTTTCCAGAATCAGCTTTCCAAAAGTTGATCCCCATGCGGCAGTAAACGGCAGCCTCTTTGTGCGTTGGTCTTACGTTCAGTGATTCCACGGCGCATTATTGTAGTATGAGATGGCAATTTGCAACCGCCCTCCATCTCAAGCAACTAGCTTCATGTGCAAAAGCGTGCGCACTGTTGTCATCGTAGTTAAGCTACCAGAACAAGTCTTTGAATCATAACATTCTGCTTAAACGAACTTACTTTCCTTGGAGCTATGGCCGAGCTAAATAAATCCACTTGCGCATACCCACCACACTGTCAACTCATCTACCGAAGGCCAAATGAATCTGATCTCCGTATTTGTATGATTAGCTTTGCGATTTATACAATAGCTTTTCCCAGCAAGTGTATTTTGCTAGTCTTCCGCCTTCTTGAGTAGCCACTAGCACAACATGCCCCGATTTTCGTGAGTTATGCCAGTTCAACATACAATGATTGAGCTAAATGACACATGAGACTACCACACCGCGGGGGAAATATGGGAGCTATCTATAGCCACAATTTAGTAAACTTACTAGTTTCTGTTCTGATAATTATGTATTGGCGAAATTCAGGTCCCGTTGTGAAAGCGGTTTACGAAGTAAACTACTATTTTTGGGTCTCGAGATAATGCATATTACAAAGATGAGCCTTACGTTCAAAATAAATTTAGCATCGGTGAAAGGTTTTGACGGTGGTTTGGGACGCGAAACTTCGAATGCACGATGTCAATGCTCACTGTGATCGGATAGAGAGTGGTGTAGAAGAGTGAATAAACTCTATTTAAGTTGCGCACTGGCAAACCGTGTTGATGAGGGAAAAGCAATGAAGAATGGTGTTAAGGAGAAGTGCGGGAGAGTACGGAGGGAATATTTGACGCGCATATACACGGGCTCTGACACACACGCAGGTCAATATTTACACACACGATGAAGGGGATCTCAGTAGGGGTTGGATTTGTCGCGTCCGTTGAGGCCAAGAGAGGAGGCTGAGGGGGTAGAGTAAGAGCCAAGAGACTCGATGGAAGCGCAGGGTGCGACAGCTCGAGGCGCGAAGAAAGCCGAGAAGCGCCGATCCTCGTCACAGACGGCGTCCAGTGGGGAAGTGGCTTCATTGTCTAGGACAGCAGGGCAGCACACAACTTGACATGGCACTCAGAGCAAGCATGACTGGCACGAGACAGTAGGTTTTACATTAACAATGGCACAAAAGCTGTCGTCCTGGGTCAAGAGGATACCGAGCGAAGAACAGACGTCCAGATTCCCACTTGCAAGCACAAAGTGGAAGCCCTACTTTTGTTGCGAGTATTTGGCTTTACCTACGCATTGCTGAAGAGACTAGATATTTGGCCGAACTTATTTTTCACGTTTATTTCGATATTGTCTCAGTAGGACTAAAAGCAGTAATGTTCAGCCGGAACTGCTCATACGAAAACAGTGGACTGGGAGCAATATTTAACTAGGAAAGATAGCTTGAAACCGATGTTTAATCGCTTGTATGAATGTTGAAAGGGGTTCGATATTGTAAGTTGCAGATGCTAAACGCACATCAATATCGGTGACGAGGGGCTTTAGTGTTGTTCTCCCAAGGCAACGGTGCTACTTAAGGGAAATAGTAACAGCATTTAAAACCAATCAGTGAACTGCAACACTGTTAAGGTGCGTCCATTTAATGTTCGCTATACTTCTTGAGAAATTGACTTCTTTGTCCAGAAAAGTGTAGGTTCTTGAATCAACCAATTTCAGGAATACCGCCATCGTCGTCCACTTATACAAAACCACTCTTCCAGTGGGGGGGGGGGAAGTCAGAGGGCGTAATCCCGTTATAGCCATAAAGTATACATGCAGGCATCTGCAATTAAAATCCATTAAAATATTAGTAGAACAGGCGTTATCTCATACAGACTGATACCAGTAGCGAGGGTTACTGTGTTAAAACCAAAACTCCGCGTCGTTAGTGGAAACCAAAGCAAACTAATACAAGCGATTATGTTTGGCGAAATAATAAACAGACAAATTATAGCGGCATGTTCACAACCACCCGAATAGCACACTCTTCATTAACCTTCCATGGTACGAAGTGCAAAAATATACGTGAAAGCAGAAGCTGACAACCGAAAAAGTAATTACTACCGTGTGAGCAGGCGCAATTAGGCCGGAGGGGGACGCCGGGCACGAAGTGTCGCGAGCTGAAAGGTGGCTGCACAAGGGCAGTCGATGGAAAAACTGCATTTTCGATCCCTCCAGTGCGCGATAAGGACATGTAGGCGCCACCACGACCGCTGCCCCCACCAATACCATTCTGGTAGCATGCCGAGTCCACGTTCCTGCCTTCGCTTCTGCCGCAACTTATGGCTTTTGCAACGGAATTGGAGACATCCGCACCGCCGTTCTCGTAGAGGTTGCAATGAGACCTCAACTAAATATTGAATGACAGCATGCCAGTGGTTGTAAAAGTGAGACTATCAAATGCAATCGATTCCACAATTGGGATCGGCACCTTTACAAATCATAATAATGAACCTAGTTCTGAAGTTCGGACAAGTTTAAAGCTGAGTGTATTCCTTTGTCACATCATAAACACAAGGCCAGTTGTAAAGTATTATTTGCCTCATTAGACAATTTCGGAAATGTAATCGCAACAACAAATAGACAAGAAATTAGGTGAGAAGAATGCCTGCCATATTTGTTAAAAACGCGGAAAGGTATATAAAAGTACGAGCGTTAGAGCATAAAAAAGTCTGAAAGTACCATGAAAAATTTAACTATTTAAATACTAACCACAATTGCAGATTACAACATACAACGCCCAAATCTGACCGTAAGAAATGACGTGTGTAGCGAAAGCACTACACTACATCACAAAGTTCAAGTTAAGTGAAGAGGAAAAGTAACTGCGTGCTATAAAAGCGAGAGTACACACAAGTGCATGCATTTGGCATGGTGAAAGAATATGCGCAGCCAGCTACGGTGGATGCATAACAATACGATGTGCACACGTTCAGGTAAAGAGATTTCCAGTCAGTGAAGTGATACATGATCCACTGGATTAGTCACATTCAATAAGCTTCATTGAGGCAGGCACAGAACACGAAATGTTTTTGTATTTTTGGTGCGAGGCGGTTGTTTTATTTGGATGGCATGCAATCTGCAAAATCATCACCTTTATCTAGTAAAGGAGAAAAATAATGATTTGATATAAACAATGTCTTTGTAATGATTGAAAATCTCTGCAAAGTTATCCACCTGAATGCTACCATCGCCGCCGTGTACAAAAAGATGTTAGTACATAGAAAGTTGTACAAAAATGTAGGCGCGTAGCATACTTATCATCTCAAGAGTTTGCGTAAAAAACCAAAGACAGATTGTGTGCCTAAACCATGCAATTTAAAAATGCCAGAGTGCCAAATCCGGTTCACGTCTTGGCCACAAAAAGCATCAAATTTAAACGCTTGGGAAGAACCCAGCTCTATTTGGCAATATTTAATAAAAAAGACAGTGCAAGGAAAAGCAATCATGGCTGCACACCACTTGCTTCTCACCAGAACACAATGCGTATATGTAGGATCCACTAAGGCTCCACTACGCGAACAAATTGTAGACAATTATATCGTATTTCACGTGACCCTGCTTCCTCAAGAAAAATGTCTGCAACCCGATTAGAAATAAGCAAAATTGAAAATGAGAGAAGAATTGATGGATTATACACATTCGCATTGCTACCGTCAGCGTACAATAGGTTTACTCCTGCAAGTTATACTTAACTCGGACAACTGGATACACACGCCAAACCAGTTTAATCAAGAATGGAAGATACTATCGCCCCCTGAAATTATGCTTAATGTTCGCGGTTCCGAAAACAACCTCGCATGAAGTTAGTGAAACGCAAAAAGTGGGCTGTATAACCCGTAAAATATGGCTTCCCGCATACATCGAGTTAGTGATAACAATAGCAGGTCAGGGTTCAATAGTTTTATTGAGTGTAATTCCTTTCCGAAAGTAGTTTGTAATACAACTGGCGAATAACTTAGGGGTGCTGACTGTTTAACCAAAGCCAAAACAGTGTGTCATGCAATTCGCATTCAAAGCGACACTGCATTATAGATATGAGTTTTCCTGCATTAGTCAGGAGAATCATAGTCGGGCGGGCGAAGCGTACCGCGCAAAAACATGGTGATACATCAACTGGATATATCCTTCAAGGACTCCCCCAAAAGTGGCATACGTTTATCGGCTTCCCTGTGATAATGCCTCGATTGCCTTAATTAAAAATGGAACATCTACTAATATACTTCAAATGAAAAAAAATCGCACTAACCTACGTCTGCACGAATGAAGGCATTATTTACGACTGCAAGTGATGTATAGATTTCAGGGTGGTGTAGAGAAAAAAGTGGAAATTCGCCGTAAAAATACGCGAAGAAAGATAAAACGCAAAATTGGCATATCGAAAAGTGGCCAAACAACCAAGAGATCGAAGACTGATATCCTGGCAGAAGTTACATTCACAGGAAGTGTGTGCTTCGAGTACTGAAGGGAAGCGAAAGCGATATGAACTAAACTCTGCTGGTGCTATTTGAGTTTCATGGGCTGCAAAGGGTGAGGTGATGGTGCCGGCGCTGGCACCACTGAGCATACTACTGACCTCGGTTCCTGTCGCCTCGATGCCACCACCATGCGCCTGCGCCGTTTCTCTGACAGAGTGAGCCATCGCAACACCCCTTATAGCAGAGGCAGCGGGACTAGCAGTCAGTGTGCCAACGCTCAAGTCATCACCAACGATCCTCCCGGGGGTAGCGAGACGGTTTAACGTGCCCAGAGACGCTGCATCCTTGTTGCTCCATTTTGACGGGCTCAGTGCTCGAGAGTCACCACCTTGCGCACGCAAGGAAGGACTGTTGTTCGACTGTAGAAGGCAATTACGGAAGGGGAATAAAAATAAGTTGTGAGAAGTATGTCTTGACGGTTGACTAAACTAAAACAGTTAATATCTTTGGAGAATATCTGCTAAGCCGATTCAGGAACATGTGGCAGTTCATATTCGAGAAAGGAAAAAGGTCACCTACGGTCACGAAAAGGATAGTAAACCCCTGAAATGGTTCTTCGGAAAAGGAGTTTTAACAAGCATGTAATTCCTAAAAAAACAAGTTAACATATTGGTACCATTTCAGAAGTCATCGAAGTCCAAATAAACTATTTATTGCATGATAACGCATTTTACACGCTTTGACTAAAATTAAACAGGGTCAAAGACACTTTGGGGAAAAGAAATTGGGAAGTTTTATCTGGGGTTCTTTATGACAAATAAGCAATGCGACAGCTGATGAGTGGGAATAAAAAGGAAATGCAATAAATCATTGATATCTTTAAACATGCAATATCCAAGGTGCACCTTATTTACTACTAAAATGTTGTATTGGAGGGATCGATAAATGCATAATTGGAACAGTATTCACCAATTATCTTAAAGACAGGACTTAACCTTGGTTCCCTTAGTGATCGGGTAAAGGAGAGGCTCCACAGTGACCGGTCTGTTATCCATAGTTTGAGACAAAAATTTATTTCCCGGAATAGTCTCAGCCTGGTCATCACCAGTGGGTCCAAGCAGGGGCCGCCCACTGGCACCGGTCGGCACATTCCGCAAAAATCGACTACCATTCACGGAGGTCAAGTGGATCTGATCCCTAGCTTCCAAGGCCACATCATTTCTCTTATTGATTTCCCAACGCCTGTACATTTTTCGCTTCATCTCCTTTAGTTTAATCATCTCTTTCACTGAGCCGGTGTCAATATGACTGAAAGAGGTCAAAGATTAACTTAGCACTAAAAGAGTTTTGCACTACCTGATCCATGTCATATATTAGTTAATGTGATTGGTATGGGGCAGGAATAGACTACAGATAAGGTTGCGAAAAATTGAGAGACCAGTTTAACAAGAGGTAGCTACAGATTAGCTGTCCAAGTGAAGTGCTCTTGTAAATTTGTACTTTAAACAGGTATTCAAAAATGTACGAAAACACCATGCATGCTAAGGTAATGTAAATGGAAGCACACTCCAGTTATAGCGTTTCTTTAATTACGCAACAAAGAACACATGAAATATAGAAAAGACTGAGGACATTTTAAACAGCATAAAATCAATAAAAACTCATATTTCGCAGAGAATCAGATTTCCAATGTAGAGTAATAGTTAACTTAAGAAAACTACGCACTGAAATTCTTATTGATGTTCTGGAGTTCACGATTTGAAGCCTTAGGCCTCGCTCACTTAAGTGGTGTTATGAAACCTCTAATAACAACTAAAGAAATGACAAACAAAACACGATGTAGGGATTATATGACCTGAGAAAAACATGGGCCTACTCACGATGGGTACTCGGAGCTACAGCACAATTGAAGCCAGTGATTTGAGCAGCCAACAAAATAAGGGTTTGATTTCGATGGAAACTTTTTTGTCACCTAAAAAATTATTCAACTAGTAAGAAATCTCCCTTTTTCAGACAGGACTAAAAACAATGCAGCTTACGTGTTCATTGGTAGTTAAACCCTTCGAAAGTATGCCGACGTGAAACATGGTGAGACTGAAGACCGGCAAAAAGATCATTCCGATCAAGGTCATGAGAACAATACTGATGAAACGTGTCAAAGAAACACAGAATTGGAAGAGCCCATAGAAATCATTTGCAAGCGAGGCGATGAAACAGTTTCAATATGAAAAGAAAGTAATCTGGAAAAATAAATTGACATACACTTAAGAAGTTAACGAGCTTGTGCCAAATTTAAAGACTGTGCAGAAAAGCAGATAAAAAGACCTAACCAAGCCTGTTCTCAAAATTTTAAATTATACACACGAAATAATAGTTCTGACCGGTTTGGTATTTTTTCAAAAGGATACGCTATAATGTTTGTGTAGTGCTTCATTGGCCGCGAGGAATGCATAAGATAAATCAAAGAGACCAGAAAAACAGCCATCATATGCAATGAGACAGTAATGAGGAATGTGAAAAAGTATCGATAGTTTCGCCTGCCTATGCAATTATTGACCCATGGGCAATGGTGGTCGAAGTTCTAGAAAAAGGAATGTCTAAGGCGGCAAGACGCACACCAACCTCGACACATTTGTTGCAAGTGGAGCAGTGTGTCGATCTTGGGAGACGATAGAACCGGCAAGTACTGCACCATTTCGTGATCACCGCGCACTCTCGCACCTCGTATTCATGAGATGATGGGGCATCTATTTCATCATAGTAGTGAGCTTCTGTGTCTAAAGCTGAATTGGGGTAAAAGATTAAAAACGAAAACCGACCAACGGGAAAGTAGCCTGGATCCATGAAGGTAGTCCTAGCGAAAACGCTGACAACAAACAATGCAAAAATCATATGAATAACGAAAATTGCCCATGATGTATTCTGGGAAAATTCGAGGCATCTGTGAACAGATGAACAAAGAATGGAAGATTGGCACATTGAAACCTTAACAATCGGTTAGGAACAGGAAGCATAAAAAGATAGGAAAATCCGACGTCTGTAAAGCCCGTTAGTACTTAGAAAGGAGGCTTTAACTTGATGCCAAAATATTTCAATTATCAATGGCAACAAACGGCATTCATGTGGATTACTGGATTTGGAAAAACTGGACAAATAAACGTGTAGGGGTGAAATTTGGTTCTGAAAAGGATGAAATGCAAAAAATTCAATCATATCCCGTAATCCAGTTCAGGGGAGATAAAGAGTAGTCATGCAGAGATGAAAGTACTCGAAGATACGAAAAAGAAAATGTGTAGTTTAAGATAACATACTATTACAGATAAGATTCAACCATTGTGTAGTGAACAAAATCAGAGAAAAAAATAAGGCGAAAGTAATGTGTTCGAAGGAACAAAATCGACAATTGCGCAGATCAAGAGCTAACACCTGACAGAAATTGTGATTGAGATAGAGAATGTGGAATCGTGGACAGACCGAGGCAAGTAGCAAAAATTTACTAAACTACAGGGATTTAAAATGAAATCAACCAAGTCGTAAACATAGTGGGGTTCCAAATTTCACAAATGACTTACATGAAAGTGAAATAAATCGTATTCAGAACAAATAGTAAGCCCCAGGAGGCGAATGCTGGCAGCAAATCTACAAATTTCATTCTGGTTTAACGATGTTTCAAAATTTCATCAGAGATGTCGCCGTACAACATCCCACACGTGAAGAAACTACACAGCACCACAGGATTTCAAAAAAGGCGGTGTTACTAAGATAAGTACAGTTACGAAGCCTAAAACCAATGTAGTAAGAAAAAAGTTAGGAAAATGCACCAAAGAGTCTTTTTATATCTCATGAGCGCTAAATGGTTTACCACAGTCCTCAAATTATGGGATGGGAGATTCGTAAAATAAGTGCCTCCATCGACATCTCCACTCCCACCAACAAGATATACCTTTATCCCCGTAGTACTTCGAAGACTTGACCAATTCAGTGTTTGTGCAAGCAGATACTTAAAACTCTGCAGACTGTACTTCCGCTTAGCGGCATGGGACCGGAGAGACGGCTTTATCCTCCCAAAAACCTTCGTACGTTATCAGCATATTTTTTCACTTCTACCACAACTTCCTGTGAATTTAAAGGATTCTTAGGAGGCCACGTTTAAATAAATACTTGAGACAGATTCGGCACAAAGTGCTTTATAGACTCCATTCGATACCATTTACAAACATTAACTCAAAAATAAGTAATAGGATGGTGATGGCAAAGAGTTATAATTTCTTTTGTGTGTTCTAAAAAGTAGAAAAGCTATTAATGAAACTAAATTAGGGAGGACTATATTTATTTCAGCTATGGTTAAAAGGCAGACTAGACATCTATATTAAGCATTCATTGCAATACACTGGCTTTTAGATATCTCAGTCTCGGTAAAGGGCCACTTTATGGTTAGGCCTTTGCAACTTTGCTAAATGAACTGTCTTCTAGCCAGTGCCAGTAGTCTCAGGCCCCTCCTTATGCTATGTACTTATATTCTGCCCATGTACAGTGTTTACTGTAGTCCTTATGGTAGTCTTGGAGCCCCACAACATAGCGGTCAAGCTATGAATTTGCCATTTTTTTATTAGAGGTAGTTTAATAATGTGCCACACTTGTCAAAGTTTTTTGTTCATGGTGTTTTGCAGTTTTTATTGCGAGAAACTTAATTTTTTCATTTTGTGTCTATTTATCAATATTCCATCTTAAAATTCTTTTCATCTTATCAGTTTTTTTGTCATAAGTTGCGCATTTTGCCCTAAAAATAAGATATATTCAGTTGTTTGCCATCTAACCGAGTACTTTGTTCTCCTTAAAAATCCATTTGAATTATTTGCTCTGCAATATGTTTTACCTAACCAACACTTTTTTCCCATTCAGTTCTTCAAGGTTTCTGCCAGGAGGCTCTGGCCCCTTTTGTGGGTTCGTCTGTTTATTGGACGTCCCTTCCGTGGACTAGGTGTGTTTTTTATCTTGTGCCTATTTTGAGTTGTTTTTGTTTTGAAAGTGTCGCATTAGACTTTATTTGCTTCAGAGTTTTGTCAGTTGTCGTTAGTTTTCGTCAGCATGTTTCCTGTACTGACTGGCTTTTTTGCGTAATGTTCGGTCTTAGCCGTACTGAGTTTTCACCAGTTATTTGTTTTGTATTGTTGTTTGTAGGGTTTCGTCATAATGAATTCACAAACCCATCTTTTAGGCCAAAACTTTATCAATTTATTTAATATGGTGCATTGCTTTGCTGTACGTGTATTTATTACTTTCTTAGGTATCCTTCTTGTCTACAATCTATGCTTTTTCACTTCGCCTTTGTTTAGGCTAATCCATCGAGCAGGTGACTTTTAAATAAATTAATTCGTGGTATTTACGTCGTACTGTAAGACTTCGACATTCTGAGACCTTTTTTCCCCGTGGGAACTTTTTAAAATGACGGTGCTCTTCAGTATTCTCCCAAACACGATGTCTTACTCCCTTGTTGATATTTTTCTGGTAATGCATTTTTTCTCACGTTTATAGCTCTGTGAGTCAGCTCTTTTCCCCGAGAAAATAGATTTTGCCCACTTTATATCATACGATGTGGTGCTTTTTCAAATCTTCAGCGTGGTCTTAAAATGGTTCCTAGATCTTCTCTTTCCATTTTAAAGGTATAAGTTTGCATTGTACCCGGTGTTTTGGCTCCGCTTGCCATCTATACCTTCATAGATTTGAGTTTTCAGTAATTGACTACTTTTTTCATTCTCACAAATCTGTAGGTCTTAAAATTCGCTGTGTGCTGTTGAAACTTGCACGAGATTGGTGCGATCTTGAGTAAGTTTTATGCAGCAATATAATACTCTATGACGGTTGGGCGAATATATGTTGCGTTCTTGACGTTTGGTGTGGTAAAACATCTAGTTTATCCCCATTAATCATGGAGAAATGTTCATGTGTCCTGTGATGACCTTATTTTATTTGCACTAGTGGCGTGGGTGTTGACAAGGTACAGCTTTTGAAATTAAGATTCTGCTGTATTAAGTCTGCGTGTTTTCACCTTTCCTATTGTTTATTACATGGTCTATGGTCTTGTTATTGGGATGGCGAAATTTCCAACGGTCGTTTGACAACTTATTCCTAAATAAAATATGGGTTTTATGATTAAAAGTGCATTCCATACCATTAACAAGAATCCATTCTCACAATAAAGTCCTCAAATGTCCACTTAAACGACTAAAAATTAGGCTTGCTGCCCTATAATTTCGTAAAATCAATATTTTATTGATTATACCACTTGTATAGCGGTGGTTGTGCTGGTCTTTAGTGTATTTGTTGCTATAGGAAATGGCAGACAGACACGGCCTGATAATACTTTTAGACGAATTCATTAATACCCAACGGGATCACTTTGTTTGTTTCCTACGTCTCCATGGTTCAAAGTAATTTACAGACAATTTTATATTTATTGTATTTTTGAACTAATTTAATTTAAATAGTATTTTAAAGTCAGGACTTTAAGTACTTGAACCCACTTGTTTCCTTTGTATAACATGGTATGTAGTCACTGATGTAAAACTTGCAAAAATTTCCCTGTTTAGTAATATTTTATGATATTTGATCGCCCTAAATTCATCGTTCCGATGTGCTTATAGCGACAGCATGGGTTTTAGCACAGGCACATATTCGAGATACTATTTCAGTAATGGATTTAGAAAGTGTTTAGAATCAAGCGAATACTATTCGTCACTTTAGGGATTTACTTATATACATGCAAATTATCGAAGTTGATTTATGATTGTAACTGTCTCTGACAATTGTAGTGAAGTTGAACATAAGTGCTTTTTTGTTGTGATCCCTCTTCATTTTAGACTACTAAAATGCTAGTATCACACGTTCGGTCTTTGAGACGTCTTCATATCCGTGTGTGGTGAAAGGCTATCATCAAAAGAGGACTAAAAATCCCTCACTTTCGCATCTACTCTCTTTCCCTGCCTGCCATTGGGCTACGTGGACTCCCGATAGCCTGTGCGATGAAGACTGTGATGCAACTAGGAAAATCCACTCAAGAAGACGTCTCTCTCATCTTGGAAACTTCTCTTCCATCTTTCGTAATACTTGACCCAAATAGTGGTGATGTTCTGCAAATAGGATGGGCTTATACTGGTTTAGGCATTGCTACGCTGTGCCTGATTGTCATTCTTATCACAGTAAGTGAATTTTTTTTAAATACCAATCACTCTTCCGTTGATTTCATGATTTAAAATACTTTTAGAGCATTACTAGTGAGGTTTGTTGGAAATACGTATGGCTTTGGTTTTTTTTATAACTGTTATACTTGGCCTAGACATAGAACAATCATAATTCTTTCTTATCAAATGGTCGCAATTTTTAGTAGTGCGTGGAATTTCTGTGCTGCGATTTCCCGCACGCATAAGAGTTAACGTCTCATGCATAAGCCATTTCTTCTATTCAGCCAATATATTTTACTAATGGGAATATTAAATAATAAAGCAATTTGAGGTGCCTTTCGTTTAGCAACGTGGAAGTTGTGGATCGGTGTGGCAGGCTGTCTTTCAAGTGATTGTGCTATGCAGGCGTTTTTGTTAAAACGCATAATTAGAATTGAGGCAAACCTAGAGCTAGGTCGGTTTCCTTAATAATTAACCCCGATTTTATTATTGGCTTTATTTAACTCCCTAAATTTCCTTATGTGTGATACGTTCAGAGTCACAAAAATCATTCAGAAATGTTCTTTTGGGATAAAGCAACGTGATTGCGTCCTTTTCTTAGTCTTTGGGTAACCAAACTATGCTGAATCTCTGTGCAAATTCAAAGCAGGGCCTTAGAATTCTTAACAGTTATTAATCATATTTTTGGGGTTTTGTAAAACTGCTAGTTTCTTTCACGGAGGAATTTGATATTGCGCAGTTGTCTTCGACTAAATTCCCTTATATGGAACACCCGACAAAGGGGACACACCATCATTTTCACCAATTCATTTAGTCATTAGCTAGATTATGTGCAGTTTCTGTCTCCCCAACCATACTCGCCTCCGTGACGCCATGTAAATGATTTGTCAATCTTTTTTTACCATGATCGATTGAACTTGTCAGTCTCCGTGATCCATTTTGCTGATTCATTTAGGATGCAATAAGCATTCTGATTCGTTATTCACCTACATCGGACAGGACTGTATTTTGTCCGGCGCAAGGGATAAGAATTCCTTGGCTGTTTTCTAATAGATTGTCTCATTTCAAAAGATTTGCTCATTTCATTCTTGTCAGCTGGCTGCTTAAAATGCAACGAAAGTTATATCGTTGGATTGGGTATAGTTAAGTACTGCATGCTCTGCTATAATGTCGATAAAGTCAAATTTGTTTGCGGTTTGTATCCTCTATTTTCGTCCTCTTGTATACGGTCCTGAGATAACTGAAGTGTTGTTATTTCTACAATACATTTGCTTGGTTATAACGCGTGTCACTGAATTATATTCCCAGAGAATACCTAATATCACGTTAGAAAAAGACATCTGACCTTTGAACGCGTCCATTTCTCACGGTTCATGCTCTAGTCTAGGTTTTTTTGCGTCGAAAATAATACTGTAACTTAGGTCATACTGCTACGTGCATTGGTATCTGGAAGCTTTAAAACAGTGCTTAC